AGAATTTCCAAACATTAAATCGAAATGTAAAGCAAGTAAGTCAGACAGGTAAAGCATATAAATATGAACTATCTCTAAGGTAACCCCACTTTTTTTAGCAATTTCCCCATAAGAGTCGCCAATTCTGTAATACGGTGGGAGAACTGACTTTTAATGGTTTTGCATTTTTATTCGCAAATGTTGCAATTAGTAAGAGTCGCCACCGACTTTTCTTTTATCCAACAAAGGAAAGGGTGAAAAGAACAGGAAAGACCTTTCGAGATTAGTTTCTGAGTAAGGGGGTAGATTATGGAAAGGGAAGGTGTTAACACCCTTTCCATCCGTAGTTATCTACAGGCTCTTAGTTGCTAACTCATTTTGGAAATTCTTTTTTGTGTAAGTGTGTTTTTGAAGATATTTTGAAAAGACGCCTTAGTATGGCGAACTTTGTAATGTTCCTCGTTTTGGCGAGAACGTATACAAAATGTTTTCATGTCTTTAAAAATGTTTAGAGAAAAGTTTTTGTGTGTATAAAAATTATTTTTGTTTGAGCAAGCAACTAGGAGCTATCTACTTACTCGAAAGGTTTGTTATTTTCCTTTAAACAGTGCTATAATACTATTAGTGAGTAGGTAGCCATATCGTCGGATGTTTTGAGAGACTAGCAATGGTCGTCGTACAATCACAACGGCAACTAGTAAGATATCTTAGTAATTACCCTAGGGTTTTAAGATCAGTTTACCAAGGCAACATCGAAAGGGTCATCGAGGGACTTATGATCTTTTAAACCAAAGGGTGGCGACTAAAATCTCTTACATTTTAGAATCGTGACCATTTATTCTGAAGGCAACAAGTGGGGAAACCTTAGAGGTGCGCGTGTGTGAGTGTGTTGTGTTTTAATTATTTGTCTTGGATGTTAGGTTTGCTAACATTTACTTTTAGTTTTATCATGCAATCCTATTAATATACATCTAACAGTTAATATCGGTACAGAAAATAAAAGTGTGAGAATTAAAGCTATGCTATTACAAGGCTTCGGGGTGAGGGAATTACAAATCCAAAATTGGGAAGCAAAATTAAAAGTCCTAAGTTTAAACTATTACAACCCATGTGTAGATACATAATATTTGGAAATAAAAATGAGAAACTAAAATAAACGCGCGAAGATGGAAGCGAGGTAGAAACCCTAAAATACTTCTATACTTAACTTTTTTTATTTTTTTATTTGTTTCAAGAAAACAACTTAAATTGACCTAAAACTAATCTTAATTAAGAAAAAAAAGAAAAATTATTAATTGAAATTAAACCTAATACAAACAAAGAAAAATAACTCTAATATTTTTGGTGTTTTTATTTTAAAAAGGATTTGAAATGACTAAATCTAAGTTCTAATTGATTTTAAATTACTTGAAATAAATCAAAATATAATTAAATTAATTAATTTGCACACATTAAATTTAATTAAAAAAACTTAATCTATTTTTTTTGTAATTTTTTCTGATTTTTTATCATAAAATAAAAATTGATTTTTAATAATAATATAAAGCAAAAATAAAAAAGAAAAAGTAAGGCTAACATAATAAAAAAATGGAGAATTGGGACTGCTGTTGTTGAAGCAATTTGGGGGGTGAGATTGAAATTTCGCTAGGCCCATATTGCAGCTAGCCCAAGATCCTGTATGGATCCCATGTTGCTGGTTCTTGAAGGTGCATCATGGAGACCTTTTCTGGATTGTGGATTTGGAATGGATGAAGATCAATTGGCTACAAAATGAGACACGTTTTGCATACATTGGGCATGCGCTATGCTGGATCTGAAATGCAATTGTTAGAAAAATAAAACTCAAGACCTGGGGATCGAACCTAGGCCCTTAGACTCTCCAACGCATGCGTTTTACCATTGGGCCGGTTAACTCATTTGTCATACATAATGAACAATAATAATATAATGAAAAAACACAATTGAATTCTCATTTCAAACGCGCGCCAAGTTGAATTTTGAATGGGCCCATAAGGGAGCAACACCTAGATCACCGGAGTCAACGTGTTCCAGGGGTTCTAGAGTCAAACTCCGGTCACCCTCTCCGGTCCTATGAAAATTCTAAAACCTGCAAAAAGGAAAAATCGAGGCTCAAGATTTAGGCTACCCCCTAAATCGGGGTTTGCCAATCCAACCATGATGCTAGTTTAATCTGAAATGGCCTGTATCATTGAGAATAAATCTCGATTGAAGTTTTGCCCTAACAATGGAAAAACTTCATCCTCACGCCAAACCTCGCATGTAAGGGTTCTAAACAGTCATAAGCATTAATATGAACACATATATGTATACATAAACTATTTATACTGCACAAACAATGAATTTGGATTTCATGAAAATTTACCAACCGATGCAATTGGAGGCGAGGATTCTGGGCATGATCTAGCTCGAGGGATGTCTTGAAACAAACCCTGTGAGTCTCGGGATGATGATAGGATCCCTAGAATGAATTGAATATGGCTGGAACTTGGTTTTTGAATTTTGACCACTTTTAGTATTTTTTTTTTGAAAATTTGTGGAGCTCTTCCCAGGCTATGTATGCGTGTCCTGATGCTTTGGGGTTGTGGTCTTTATATAGAGGACGGAAGAGGTTAGCAAATCTGGGAAGAAATCAAGTCATGAAGGTCATGATAAAGTAAAATATCCAAACTTGAAAACTTTCCATTTTTAAAGATATTTCATGCCATTTTGGCTTGTGCATGAAATTGGCATGTTGACAGGCCATAACATGTTGTATGGGCTCTTAGAGAAACAAATCATATGTTGGCCCGTTGGTTTTATATTTTATTTTATTTATTTTTGAATTTATTTGAATAAAAATCCAAAATAAATAAAATAAAAATCAAGCTCATGCATGGATGGGTTTATAGGCCCTTAAATATGTCTTGAACATGTTTGGGCCCTAAAAATTAGGTCCAATAACTTAAAATCACAAATTTGCCCAATTGAGATTTCATGCATTTTTTGAAAATTTCCCAACTTGTGCAAACCATAACTTGCTCAATTTTTATCATCTGAATATGACCTTGGACTTTTTGGAAAGCCCAAGATGTCCTATTCAATCTCTCTTTTGATAAATTTTGCATTTGAAGACTTCATCTTGATGTAAATTGTCTTGATAAAAAGTGTCTTTCGTTGACTTTCTGAAAATGACCTGTAATGTATGAGCTCATATCTTTCCAATGATGCCTTTTTTGGACTTGAGATTAACAGAAAAGTTGTAGAGAATTGAATTTTCTTCACAATGAAATTTTGTTGGGGCAAAATGGATGAAGCATGTAAAAGTTATGTCTGGTCAAAGTTTAGTTGACTTTCTCTAGGAAACCCTAATTTAGCAAGTTTTAATTCTTGATGATTTGAGAGCATTCCTTGAGGAATCATGATCAACCCTTGATAAAATGATGGATATCACTTCAAAATGTTGATGTTGACCAAAAATCTTGAAGTTTGACTGTATATTGATCACAGTTAGCTTTTGACCTAATATAGTTGATTTCCAGTCATCTGAGCAATTGACTGAGCAAACTTATAATGAAAGGCATGAAAATTGGCATGAGCATTCTTGAGGACATATCAGGAACCATGGAAATCAACTGATGCCTTTGAAGCCCAAACTTCTTTGTGAAAAATGAAACCCTAGTTGGAAATCCATTGCTTAGGAGGAGAATTTGTCTGGTCAATTCTTGGTCAACCTTGAGCACTTAGGGACCTCTAAGAGTATGTTTTGAATAAAAATAGGGAAAATTTTGAGGTACAACACCTTCCACCAGAAAAACAAATTTCACTCCCTAATAGAGTTTATTGTTTTCTTGATAGTCTCTGAGGTATCTTCAGATTTGGTCTCATTCTGTATCTAATGGTTTTCTAGATGTTTCTGATGTATTTTCCAAAGTGTGTTCATCCTTTGCATATGTTGATCTTCCCGATGTCTCTTGTCTTTCAAGGGTTTTGTCTCTTTCTTTCCAAGTATTGATGGATACTTCTTGTCACCTTGACAGATATTCAGAAATAGCTTGTGTTTCCCAGCTTTCCGTATCATGTAGTCTCATTCAATCTACTGTAAATCAATTGTTTCAAGTTTCTCCATATAGTGTCTTTATCTTATGCATTCATATCATACAAAAAATATGTCAAAGAAGAGTTAATGCATTACATTGCTACCCAAAGGACAAAATTTGGGTCTTTTTGTATTTAATTATCTTTCATTATGATGCTATCCAGTTAAGGATGATTAAATAGGAGCAGTTGTCATACCCTAATTTTTCCTATGGTCATTCATTCATCGCATTTGCATCATTAATCGGTCATTCATGCATTTAGGTTGACCAAAAGTCAACTTAAATCATCATCTGCATCATTTTAGAGTGAAAAAGTACCTGATATCTCACTTAATGTATTTTTATCTCTTTACCTGCTTCATGCATTACGCCAAGTTGATTATATTTCAATAATATGGATATTTCGATTCTATAGGCAAATCGTTAAAAGCGTTTCGACACTGTACAAAAAATTAGCAGGCAAAATATTTTAAGTTTTCACTTTTATCTGACTATTTTTTGAATCTACGTTGCGCGTAGATCATGTCGGTATGTCCGCTTTATTTTTTCAGTACAATTTACAATATCTTTCTTACTTGTCAACGTCTGTTCGGCCGGATATCCTTATTCTCATTTTTTATTTCAGTTTTTTATCATTTATCATTTTTTTTATTAACCTTTGTAATTTATAATTTATTTTAATGTGTTCATTTTTTTTCCGATTAATTAAGTGTCAAGTTTTTATCATTTTTGACTATTTTGAATCTCTCTTTCTTATTCAGAAAAATTAAAATTAAAGCATTTTTGAATGTGTTAATTTTTATTCTTTAAGATTTTTATGTTAATTTTATCAACAACAAAAAAAAAATTTGTTTTAAGCATTTAAATAAAATAGAAAACCTATTTTTTTTATTTAAGTAGATAGAGATAAGAGGATCAGGGTAGATGAGATTTGTAGATTCAAAAACAAAATTAAACAGAAACAAGAAAGAAGGGATTTCGTTCACAGACCCTTCCATCTCTTCCTCACAGCTAGCTCATCTTCAACCCACAACAACTATCTTCTTTCGCCCTCCACCCGGGAGAAACTTTCCCTCCATCCGCCTTCATCTCACCTGCAGACACCTGTCTCTAACCGGTCACCACCACAGCATGACACAGTCAACGAGAGACCACCTTCCGCTCGCGAAACCTGCCACCACCATCATCAATACACCGTCCCTGCCAATCTTCTTTCAGCAACCCACATGCTACCGGTCAAGACCTGCTAACGTCCACACCACCTCTTCTCACTTCAATATCTCCACTTCCTTCAACACTCAAGTGGATAAACTTCAATCTCTATATCGTAATTTTCATTTAATTTAAGTTCTGGTTTATCATTGATGTTAGAATTTGAATGTTGAAGATTGATAATGATATTGTTGAATTTTAAGCTAATTGTTGTTGAAGATTGGTGATGAATTGTTTGAATTATTGAGATAATTGTTGGTTTTGTTATGTTGTTGATGATGAGAATAAATTTTTATTATTGAATATAATTTTTTATTAGTGTTGGTGTTGTTGTTTAATTTGATATTGACACTAATGAATTAATGTTGAAGATGTGAGGTTATTATTATTGAAAGCATTGAATGATTGTTGAAGTTTGTGGTGTGTTGTTTTAAGATTATTGAATACATTTGTTAAAGAGTAGTGATGATGTTATTGTTGTTTGAACATTAAGTGAAGATGGTGACATTATTGTTAGAATTAATTAATTGACGATGATGTTGTTTGTTTTTGGTTTGAGGGTTGAATCATTGATAACTATGGTTGTGGTGGTGGGATTTATTTCCTTTTGTTTCAAAATATGTTTGAATTGGAATTAGTGAGCCTAATTACATATATGTTGTTGCTTCTCGGATATTGATCTGAATGATTTAAACTTGTTTTGAATTTGATTTTTTCATGTTTTGAAGTTGAATTGCGCAATGAATTGATTTAGCATTTGTTAAGCTTGATTTTGATGATATTAGGATGTTAATTGTTTTGGTTTTGAATGATGAATTTAACAATGACATTACTTTGTTGTTTTCATTTGTGCTAAATATGTTTGAGATGAACTTTTTGAGTCTCGTCTCTGTTAAATTGTAATTCGATTGTGTCGAAACAGTGTGTGTCGAAGAGAGGTTGCCTAGTCAAAGAGCTTGTGGATCGAAGCAAGCTACACACAGATTTGATAAGTTTTAGATTTAGATAAATTTGATTTAGTACCAAAATAGATATTTTGGGCTTTTATAGTTTTGGGCTTTAAGCTAACCTAAATCTATAAATAGAGAGAGTAACCCCTAATTTTGTAATTAAGTCAATTCGTTGTAATCACAGAATTTGCAGTTGCAAGTGATTAATAAAGTTTTCCACAATTTGTGGACAGAGAGAAACTCTGCAAAAAATTGTCTTCTTTCTTTTCTTTTCTTTTTTTTCCTCATAATTTATTGTCATTGTGTGGTGATATCAATCTTGTTCATCAAGATTGGTAGAAATTCATCATAGATATTTGGTGGATTTCCAACATCTGGTATCAAGAACTCGGTTAATCGATTCAAGGGAAATATTGATCAAGAACGATTGAGGAAGAAGAAGAATTCACAATGGCGAGTTATGGGAATGCAAATTATTCAGTAACTCTACCAATTCTGAAAGTAGACAACTATGAGAATTGGTGCAAATAGGCGAAAGTTTTATTCTGGTGTCAAGGTCTTTGGGATCTTGTAAAAGATGGATTGCAAGCGCTTGGAGAAAACGTTTCAGAAGAAGAAAAGAAGAAACACACAAAATCTGAGAAACTGAGTTATAAAGCACTCTTTATAATTCATCAATGTCTGAGTCCAGAAAATTTTGAAAAAGTGAGTGATTTAGAATCTGAAAAAGAAGCTTGGGAGGTTCTTGAAGAGTCTTTTGGTGGTGTAGAAAAAGTGAAAGAAGTGAGGTTACAAACTCGCAAGAGAACATATGAATTGCTTCAGATGGAAGATAGTGAGAGCATATATGATTTCTTCACTAGGGTTACAAAACTAGTGAATCAAATCAAGGTATGTGGAGAAACATTAACAACAAGAGATGTTATTTTGAAGATCTTGAGATCTTTGGCTCCTAAGTTCGACCAGGTGGTGGTGGCTATAGAAGAGGGGAAAGACTTGTCGAAAATGACAAAGGAAGAGCTTCAAGGGACGCTTGAATCTCATGAACAAAGAATGACTGAAAGAGCTGCAGGCAAGTCAAAGAGTGATGTGAGTTTGCAAGCACATTCAGCAAAAGAAACCAAAGGCAAAGGAAAGTGGTTCAACAAAGGTAGAGGCGGCTACAACAAATCGACTGGTAGAGGAAACCAGAACGAAGAAAATGTATCGAATCAGAGAAGACCATACCAAAGTAACCAAAGAGGTGGTGTTACAAATAAAGGAAGAGGTGGTGGTCGAAAACCTGACAAGAGTCACATTCAATGTTACAATTGTCAGAAGTATGGTCACTATTCGAGTGATTGTCCAGAAAAGCGAAAGAATCAAGAAGGTGATTCAAAGTTTGTAAAAGATGAAGAAGAAGAAGACGAGATGATGCTGATGGTCACAACAAGATATAAAGATAGATTCAAGGACCAATGGAACTTGGATTCAGGATGCTCGTCACATATGTCTGGAAGGAAAGACTGGTTTATCAACATAAAGCCCTCAATGAGAATATGGTAAAATTCCCAAATGGCAATACCCTAGCAGCTGAAGGTATTGGTGATGTTATGATTATGATGAAAGATGGCAAGAGGTCAGTAATTTCCAATGTGTTGTACATACCAGGCGTGAAGAACAATTTGCTCAGTATAGGGCAGGTGGTCGAAAAGAATTATAAAGTGTTGATCGAAGATAAGATGATTAGAATCGTCGACACAAATGGAAGATTAATCTTGAAGGCTCCTATGTCTCAGAATATAACCTTCAAGATCGAACTAAATGTGATGGAGCACAAGTGCCTTTCGACTGCAGCTAGTAGAGATGAATGGATATGGTATTATCGACTAGGCCAACTCAACTTCAGAGACATCAGAGATTTGAAGAGAAGAAATATGGTTTCAGGATTGTCAGAAATCGACATTCCAAACGAGGTATGTGAGAAATGTGTGCAGGCAAAGCAACACAAGAATAGCTTCAGCAAGGATGCAGGAAGTCGGTCGAAGGTTATTCTTGAAGTCATATACTCTGATGTATGTGGACTAATCCAGGTGGATTTGATGTGAGGTAACAAATACTTTGTTACATTCATAGCTGATTGCAGTCAAAAGTTGCGGACTTACCTGATCAAAAGGAAAAGTGAAGTGATCGAGGTATTTGCCAAGTTTAAGTCTATGGTCGAAAGACAAAGTGGTCGAAAACTCAAAGTTTTGAGAACTGATGGTGGTGGAGAGTATGTGTCGAAAGACTTCGACAGGTTATGTGAAAAGGAAGGGATTGTGCATGAGGTGGTGTCACCCTATACTCCACAACATAATGGAACTGCAAAAAGGAAGAATCGAACCATCATGAATATGGTGAGAAGTATGTTGAAAGGCAAGAATTTACCTAAAGAGTTTTGGGGTGAAGCTGTGTCAACTGCAACATATATTTTGAACAGATGTCCTACGAAGAAGATATAAGGAATTACTCCAGAAGAATGTTGGTCTGGTGTGAAGCCTAGCTTGAGTCATCCGAAGGTATTTGAATCTATTACACATAGACATGCGCCAGATCAGTTGAGAAGAAAACTTGATGACAAGTTGAGTCAAATGATTCTAGTTAGATATCATTCGACAGGAGGTTACAAGTTGTTCGACCCAGTGAAACAAGCAGGTTGTGATCAGCATAGACGTGATCATAGATGAGCTTAAAGAATGGGATTGGATTGAAAATGTCAAGAAAGATTCAGTGGGACCCTACTTGAAGAACCAGAAACTCAAGTCGAAAGAGAAGTTCGACAAGAGGAATCAACAGTTATAGATCAACCAAGTACAAGCAGACCTCAAAGGACAAGACGCATGCTTGTAAGATTGCAAGATTGTGTGATTACATCAGATGATGTGATAGATAATGAAGGTGAGTTGCCACATTATGCTTTCTATGCAGATGTTGAATCTGTAAATGCAGCTGAAGCATTAAAGGATTCAAAGTGGGTGAAAGTAATGAATGAAGAAGTGAAGTTTATCGAAGACAACAACACTTGGTCATTTTTCGAATTGCCTCAAAGCAAGAAGGCAATTGATGTCAAGTGGGTATACAAAGTGAAAATGAATTTCAAAGGGGAAGTAACTCGAGATAAAACAAGGCTTGTGGCGAAAGGATTTCTACAAAAAGAAGGAATAGACTTCGATGAAGTTTTTGCACCTGTTACTAGGATTGAAACAATCAGGTTGATTGTTGGTCTAGCAGAAATAAACAAATGGCACATATGTCAGATGAACATGAAGTGTGCATTCCTGAATGGACCATTAGACGAAGAATTTTATGTTAAACAATCAGTTGGGTTTGTGAAACATGACGAAGAGAGAAAGGTGTATAGGCTGCAAAAAGCCCTGTACGGATTGAAACAAGCTCCAAGAGCTTGGAATAAGAAAATTGATAGTTTTCTAAGGGAGAAGGAATTTGTGAAGTGCACAACTGAACATGGAGTATATGTAAGAAGAAGCAATAGTGAATTGCTTATATTATGTCTCTATGTCGATGATTTGTTTATTACACGTAGCTGCAAAAGTGAGATCGAAGACTTCAAAGGTGATCTCAGCAAGGAATTCGAAATGTCTGATCTGGGTGAAATTTCATATTTCCTTGGCATCGAATTATACAAGAGCAGTAGAGGTTTGATGATGCATCAAAGAAGATATGCAGGAGAAATTTCCAAAAGATTTGAGATGAAAGAATGCAACTCAACTTCAACACCTGCAGAACCAAGACTGCAACTGTCAAAAGATGCAGATGAAGATGATGTCGACCCAATCCAATACAGAAGACTTATTGGGTCATTGAGATATATTTTTCATATAAGGCCTGACTTAACATATAGTGTAGGTATGATAAGTAGATTCATGCATAAGCCAAGGGTATCATATCTAGCAGCGGTGAAGAAGATACTAAGGTATCTCAAAGAAACTCTCGACTATGGCATTTTATTTCTTGCAGCTGATAAAAGAAAATAATGCAAGTTAGTGGGATAAACTGATTCGAGTTGGTGTAGTGATACTGAAGATCGAAAATCAACAGCAGGATATGTGTTTATGTTAGGTGGTGCACCAATTGCTTAGAGTTCAAGAAAAAAACCAGTGGTGGCATTATCATCATGCGAAGAAGAATACATAGCTCCTTCTCTTTGTGCGTGTCAAGCAACTTGGATGGTGAACTTGATAGAAGAGATAACAGGAAAAGATCATGGAGCAATTACCATGAAGATCGACGGCATATCAGTTATCAATCTGGCGAAGAATCCGATAGCACATGGTCGAAGCAAGCACGTCGAAATGAGTTTCCACTATCTTCGAGAGCAGATAGCAGATGGAAAGATGAATTTGGAACACTGCATAACTGAGAATCAGATTGCAGACATCATGACGAAGGGAGTGCAGGTCGAAGTATTCAAAAGACTAAGAACCATGATGAATATAGATAGTTTAGACACAATGAATTAGGTGGTGTGTTAAATTTTAATTCGATTGTGTCGAAACAGTGTGTGTGTCGAAGGGTGGTTGCCCAGTGGAAGAGCTTGTGGATCAAAGTAATCTATACACAGATTTGATTGGTTTTAGATTTAGATAAATTTGATTTAGATCTAAAATATATAGATTTGATTTAGTACCAAAATAGGTATTTTGGGCTTTTATAGTTTTGGGTTTTGGCTTAGGGAGCAAGCTAACTTAAATCTATAAATAGAGGGAGTAATCCCTGATTTAGTAATTAAGTCAATTCATTGTAATCACAGAATTTGCAATTGCAAGTGATTAATAAAGTTTTCCACAATTTGTAGACAGAGAGAAACTCTGCAGAAAATAATTGTCTTCTTTCTTTTCTTTGCTTTTCTCATAATTCATTATCATTGTGTGGTGGTATCAATCTTGTTCATCAAGATTGATAGAAATTCATCATAGATATTTGGTGGATTTCCAACAGTTTCATATGCTTAATTGATGCCCGATTTTGTTTCATATGATAAAAATTTGTTTCAATCTTGTTTTCTCA